CCCCCCCCCACCGGTGAGGTCGAAGAGATCTCCCAGGCCGCTGCCGAGGGGTGCCCCCAGGTTCGCGGGCATCGCAGCACTGGGCGCTGGTGCGAAACTGCCCCCGCCGCCACCCATCTGTGGGGGACAAGGGAGTGGGTTACGGGGGGAACAACAGGGTGGGGGAGAGGAGGAGAAGGATGCAGAGGGCGAGAGGGGTTCAGGCAAGAGGGCACACTCACGGCAGGGCTGCCTCCCACATCACTTCGCAGCTGCAAGAGAAGAAAGGAGCATCAGCAGGGGCAGGGGTCAGCGCGCCAAGGGCACAGGGGTCTCGCAAAACGTCTCATCGAGGGCACTTTCCAGAAGCATCAGTTCGAGCTAGCAAGGGCCCAGAGTCGGTAGGGATGCTCCAGTGGTCCCAGAGCTGTTTAGGTGACTGGTTGTGCCCAGAGGGAAGCAAGGTGTCACTGGGACGCCGAAACAGAGGGCTGAGGCTGCACGGGGGGAGCAGGGGAAGCCAGGGGTGGGCACGGGTGCTGGGGCTACGCATGGTCGAGAGGGCTAAGAAAAGGGCTGATCCATACCCCTTCCGACTCGTCCCCCATCTCCAAGCAGAAGCAGGCAAGGCGGAGAGAAGAGCCAGCCACATGCAGAGACAAGCCAGGAGAGAAGAGACAAAAACAACAGAGACAAGAGAAGGGGAGGAGGGAAGAGAAGTTAGTCCTGCTGCACTGCCAACACATCCATCTGTCTGTCCATGGCTGCCCTGGAGCCAGGGGACAGAGCACGACCGGGGTCTCTCATCCCCACATTTGGTGCCAGCCCATTACCAAACCCTGCAAGTCCAGCAAAGAGCCAGAGCAGCACCTGGGGGATTATGGAGCAGGAGAGGCAGCAGGTGAAGGGACAGCCATGCTGCCTCCCCTTGGGGATCTCTCCTGGCTTTTACTCTTCTCCTGCAGGGAGCCTGGACCATCACCAGCACCTGTGGGGCAGGTGGTCCCAACCAGGCAGAGGTTTCCATCCCTCCTCACCCTGCAGCCAAATCGTTTCTCAGTTTGCATTCCCAGGAGGACAAGCTGTCACATCCGGATCTCCTGGCGCAGGAGATTCCCGTTAAAGCACCTCACAGGCTGGGAGTGGGCACATCTCAGCCCAGCCCTGCAGCAGCTGGAGGCACATCCCCATTTCATACAGCTGTGGGGTTCAGAGGGGGACCCAGGAAGATCAGTTACCCCTGAAGCACAGCACAGACAGTGGGAGCATCTACCCAGACCTCGTGTACTGAGAGAAAAGGCACAAGGAGCACTAAACTCCTGAACTCCTGCCCTAGTCCTGTCATCCGATGAGGACAAGATCAATTAGGGTGCTGTATCCCTCTGTCTTCACCAGCTGTAGAAGGAAAGGACTAGCCCAGATGTCTCCAGGCAGACAGGCCCGTACCATCCCCAGGAGCTCCAGACAGGACCCAGCACCAAACCCAGCATGATGCTGCCAGCACAGCCAGGCATCAGGGAAGGAGCGTGTGGGGATGCGACATACCAGGCTGTCCAAGCCGCCCCCAAGGAGGTCCACGGCACCCATCTGCACGGAGGAGGTGGCAATGGGAGGCCCGCTCACAGGCGGGGCCCAGGCTTTTTTCAGCAGGTCGCCCTGTGTGGGGATGACGGCCGGCTGCTCTGCCGCCTGCACCCCCGAGGGGGCTGTGTCAGGGCTCTCGGCGCTCTCGCTCCTAGAGGGAACAGCAAGGGAAAGACAAATGATGCTGAGCAGCTCCAGTTGAGCCAACAAGGTCCCGCTGGAGACAAGCTCACCCAGCCGGGCTTTGCAGCGAGCGTTCAAAGAGACACCCTGTCCCAGCACGACTCCCAGCGCTTCAACGCATTCTCATGGAGATCAACTTCTACTTAGGTCTGAGATCACCCCTTCAGCCTTGGAAGGACAGTATTGAATCCATACAGCCCTGCTCCTACAGGGGAACCTCCCCTTGGGAAAGGGGGAGCCTCAGCTCAGC